CATTTGATTTGAATAGCTTTGTTTGAATGTGTTTGACTTTCATTTGATTCAAAAATCTTTGTTTGAATGTGTTTGACTTTCATTTGATTTAAAAAGCTTTATTTGAATGTGTTTGACTTTCATTTGATTCAATTAGCTTTGTAGAATGTATTTGACTTTCATTTGATTCGAATAGCTTTGTTTGAATGTGTTTAACTCTCGTTTGATTTAATTAGCTTTTTAGAATATATTTCACTTTCATTTGATTTAAATAGCTTCATTTGAATGTCTTTGACTTTCATTTTATGCAAAAAGTTTTGTTTGACTTTCATTTAATTCAAAAAGCTTTGTTTGAATGTGTTTAACTCTCGTTTGATTTAATTAGCTTTTTAGAATATATATATCATTTTCATTTGTTTAAATAGCTTCATTTGAATGTGTTTCACTTTCATTTTATGCAAAAAGCTTTGTTTGACTTTCATTTGATTCAAAAAGCTTTGTTTGAATGTGTTTAACTTTCATTTGATTCAATTAGCTTTATAGAATGTATTTGACTTTTGTTTTATTCAAATAGCCTTATTTGAATGTGTTAGACTTTCATTTGATTTAAAAAGCTTTGTTTGAATGTGTTTGACTTTCATTTGATTCAATTAGCTATGTAGAATGCATTTCACTTTCATTTGATTTATATGGCTTAGGTTGAATGTGTTTGACTTTCATTTGATTGAAATAACTTTGTTTGAATGTCTTTGACTTTCATTTGATTCATTTAACTTTGTAGAATGCATTTCATTTTCATTTGATTTGAATAGCTTTGTTTGAATGTGTTTGACTTTCAGTTGATTCAAAAAGTTTTGTTTGACTTTCATTTGATTCAAAAAGCTTTGTTTGAATGTGTTTGACTTTCATTTGATTCAATTAGCTTTGTAGAATGTATTTGACTTTCATTTGATTTAAATAGCTTTGTTTGAATGTGTTTGACTTTCATTTGATTCAATTAGCTTTGTAGAATGTATTTGATTTTAATTTGATTCAAATAGCTTTGTTTGAATGTGTTTGACTTTCATTTGAATTATTTATTTTTGTAGAATGCATTTCACTTTCATTTGATTTGAATAGCTTTGTTTTAATGTGTTCGACTTTCATTTGATTCAAAAAGCTTTGTTTGACTTTCATTTGAATTAAAAAAGCTTTGTTTGAATGTGTTTGACTTTCATTTGATTCAATTAGCTTTATAAAATGTATTTGACTTTCGTTTTATTCAAATAGCCTTTTTTGAATGTGTTAGACTTTCATTTGAATTAAAAAGCTTTGTTTGAATGTGTTTGACTTTCATTTGATTCAATTAGCTATGTAAAATGCATTTCACTTTCATTTGATTTATATGGCTTAGGTTGAATGTGTTTGACTTTAATTTGATTCATTAAATTTGTAGAATGCATTTCACTTTCATTTGATTTGAATAGCTTTGTTTTAATGTGTTTGACTTTCATTTGATTCAAAAAGGTTTGTTTGACTTTCATTTGAATCAAAAAGCTTTGTTTGAATGTGTTTGACTTTCAATTGTTTCATTTAACTTTGTAGAATGCATTTCACTTTCATTTGATTTGAATAGCTTTGTTTGAATGTGTTTGAATTTCTTTTGATTCAAAAGCTTTGTTTGACTTTCATTTGAATCAAAAAGCTTTGTTTGAATGTGTTTGACTTTCATTTGATTCAATTAACTTTATAGAATGTATCTAACTTTCGTTTTATTCAAATAGCCTTGTTTGAATATGTTAGACTTTCATTTGATTCAAAAAGCTTAGTTTGAATGTGTTTGACTAGCATTTTATTCAATTAACTTTGTTGAATGTATTTGACTTTCATTTGGTTCAAATAGCTTTGTTTGAATGTGTTAAACTTTCATTTAATTTAAAAAGCTTTGTTTGAATGTGTTTGACTTTCATTTGATTCAAAAAGATTTGTTTGAATGTGTTAGACTTTCATTTGATTTAAAAAGCTTTGTTTGAATGTGTTTGACTTTCATTTGATTCAATTAGCTTTGTAGAATGTATTTGACTTTCATTTGATTCAATTAGCTTTGTAGAATGTATTTGACTTTCATTTGATTCATTTAACTTTGTAGAATGCATTTCACTTTCATTTGATTTGAATAGCTTTGTTTGAATGTGTTTGACTTTCATTTGATTCAAAAATCTTTGTTTGAATGTGTTTGACTTTCATTTGATTTAAAAAGCTTTCTTTGAATGTGTTTGACTTTCATTTGATTCAATTAGCTTTTTAGAATGTATTTGACATTCATTTTAGTGAAAAATCTTTGTTTGAATGTGTTTGATTTTGATTTGACTTAATTAGCTTTGTAGAATGCATTTTTACTTTCATTTGCCTTAGATAGCTTTGTTTGAATGTGTTTGACTTTCATTTGATTCAAAAAGCTTTGTTTGAACGTGTTTGACTTTCATTTGATTCAAAAAGCTTTGTTTGAATGTGTTAGACTTTCATTTGATTTAAAAAGCTTTGTTTGATTGTGTTTGAGTTTCATTTGATTCAATTAGCTTCGTAGAATGTATTTGACTTTCATTTGATTTAAATAGCTTTGTTTGAATGTGTTTGACTTTCATTTGATTCAATTAGCTTTTTAGAATGCATTTCACTTTCATTTCATTTAAATAGCTTCATTTGAATGTGTTTGACTTTTATTTTATTCTAAAAGCTTTGTTTGACTTTCATTTGAATCAAAAAGCTTTGTTTGAATGTGTTTGACTTTCATTTGATTCAATTACCTTTGTAATATGTATTTGACTTTCGTTTTATTCAAATAGCCTTGTTTGAATGTGTTAGACTTTCATTTGATTCAAAAAGCTTTGTTTGAATGTGTTTGACTTTCATTTGATTCAAAAAGCTTTGTTTGAATGTGTTAGACTTTCATTTGATTCAAAAAGCTTTGTTTGAATGTGTTTGACTTTCATTTGATTCAAAAAGATTTTTTTTAATGTGTTTGACTTTCATTTGATTCAAAAAGCTTTGTGTTTGGGGGTTTTTTATGTGTCCTATGGGAGAGTTACAATTTCCTAGTATGCTCCTTCCTTAGCCTGTACCTGCACAAATAACGGAATACTCCGGCTGGGACTTGGGTGTTCCGCCTCCGAAGATTAAGTTAGTCTCTTTCTAAAAGAGGAAATAAGACAATAAATGCTTCTCGAGTTGAGAGCGTTTGTAAGGGGATTTGTGTTTTGTTGGTTTGTGGGAAATGATTCGATCCCCATTAATGAGGTCTGCCCTTACTATTTATAGTAGGGGAGAGCTGTACCTCAATTTAGGGTACAATGACACGTGTCGCAAAGGGATTGGGCCTTTGCTGACCGTTGCAAGCTTGACACGTGGCAAGCCTTTATTGGGCCACGTGTCTTAGGGTATTTTTACCCTAAACATCTGCCCCTCACAGGTGTGACGTGGCATGTCCACGTGTCACCTGTGACAAGTGTTAGACGCATGGGAGGAGACGGTTCGTCTTCTTCCCTCTTTTTTTTCAAATTTCAAGTTTTTAGGGCAGAAGGCATCGTTTCGCCTTCTACTCCTTCTCTATAAATATAAGACACTCTCTCTCTCCTCCACACTTTGCATATTTTTTCAAAATATTTTCTGAGAGAGAGCTCTGATACCGGCTGCATTATTTCCTAAGTTTTCTTGCATCCGGCATTTTTCAAATCAAGCACATTCGGCGACCGATTGGGTGCTCTTTCTCCAGTCTCTAAGGTACCGGCTGCCCTTTTCTTTTTACTTTCGCTTTTGAGGATTTTGAACGTTTCACCCCATCCGGGTTGCATGCCGCCTGGGGGGCCTTTAACCCATATCCCTAGTGTTGAATCTTCTCCCTCAGCCGGCATAGCCCCGTCTGAGGGGTCTTCAACTTTTAAGAATTATGCATTCTAAACACCCCCATCCGGTTCAACACCGTCTAGGGGGTCTTTGATCCTTTCCAAAATAGACTTATCCTTTAACACTGCTTGGGGTATTTCTGAGTTTTTATCAAGAAATGATTTCAAAAACCCCAACCGGTTTTAAAAGCCGGTTGGGTCATCATCCTTGCCTCTTTTAGGATTTTTCAAAAAAAAATTTAAGATGCGTTCAATGCACCCCCATCCGGTGACTCACCATCTGGGTATTGTTTGAACATGCCTTTTTGAAACAGATCCTTCTATATCCCCATCCGGTATTTTACCGTTTGAGGTATTTGTTGACCCTAGATGCTGATGCAGCACCTACATCCGGCATCTTTACCAGAGGGGTATCTTTGACCCAACCTTCCTGATGCCGTCTGGGGTATCATGGAGTGAGCCCTAATTCTTTTTACTATGTCAATTCCTATCACAACCCTCCCATCCGGTGTTATACCGTTTGGGGGTACTTCTAACCTAGCTCACTGAATACCGTCTGGGGTATCATTTAGTGAACTGTACAAATAATCTAGCTAAGTTTGACAACAATAAAAGTCATATCCTCCCATCCGGTTTTTAACCGTCTGGGGTACTTTTGACCCTGCTCACTGAATACCGTCTGGGGTATCATAGAGAGCTTTACAATATTCTAGCCAGTCATTACAAATGTTTGTAAAGAACCCCCATCCGGCCTTATGCCGTCTGAGGTACTTCTGACCCACCTTATTGAACACCGTCTGGGGGTTTTCGGGCGAGTTATTGAATAACCGGCTAAGTGTTTACTTTGTCTTTTTCAGCTTTAAACATTTTCGCGGAGTTCTCCGTCTAAGGCGACTTCAAGCCAACTCACTTTCTCATTTCAAAGGTACCGCCTGCATCCCATACTTGTCACATTCTTTTATTTCTGGTTGCATAGTATTAGGATATGGACTTCACCAATGCACACACGGCACAGCCTACGACTGTGGTCAGCCGGTCACCAGGAACGGCTGAGTCTAGGACTGGGATTGCTGTCTGGGGTGCTTGGAACAACCTTCACCTACATCGAATCCGACCGTCTCTGTTCATGTGCAGGACAGAATGGCTCGGATCAGAGTGACGGCAATCTACCCTGACTACCAGTCCGTTGACCCAGCCGTTGATCCGGCTGATCCTATAAATCAAGAGCAAGCCGAGGAACCGGCTGAGATGGGTCCTAATGAAGAGGTTCTGCAAAATTCTCCGAGTACACCTAGTACACCGGGTGACAGTATCTTGGATAACTCTGGTTCCAACGCTGAGGAATCCGGAGAGGGATCTGGAGAGGAATCTGGTGAAAAATCCGGAGAGAGATCCGGAGAGGGATCCGGTGAACAGTCCGGGGAGGGGTCAGCTGATAATGGGGAGTCCGGCCCTGGCCCTAATGAAGAGTCTTCTGAAGAGGCGGCTCCTATTGAAGAAGAGGCCTACAATTGGTCGGCTAAGGGCGACCCGACTGATATGACCATGTTCGCTAGGGATGTGGTCACTTTGAACGCCACACTCCCTGCTTTTTTACAGAAGAAGCCGGTTGGAGAGGGATGGGAAGCGGTCGTCCCACCTGTAGAGGCAAGGGTCGTTTGGACCGACGACGTGGACCATGCCGACAACTTCTTCGGCTGCTACGAGGCGGCGTTTTACAGCCGGCTGACAAGCGCACTTTAGGGCGCGCTTTAGAGCATATTTTAGGATGATTTTGGATGTATTTGGGGCCGCTTTGGCCGATTATTACCTTGTTTATGCTTACGTTCCCCATATTACGTGCTTCACGGGTTTTCGGTTTGTTTTTGATGTGTTTTTCAGGTAATATCAACCGAGTTTAATCGGATCCTGAGCCCTTGATGCGTAACCGAGCTAGCCGTGACCGGAGTCCGAGGAGTTAAGGAAGTTCAAGTGCCGTGCATTGATTACATAGCACAGGCAGCACGACCGTGTTACCATAGGCACACCCGTGCTGGCCTATAAGCAAGCAACCCCAGGCAAGGCAGCACGACCGTGCAAGCCAATAGCACGACCGTGTCAGTATCCACGCACCCGCACGGCCGTGCCAGATGTTGCCCGTGCCCGTGTCAGCTTCAGTATGAGCCCCGTGCTAGAGCATATTCAGCACGACCGTGTCATTTTTAGCACGGCCGTGCCAGGAAGCTGCACGACCGTGCCATATATAGCACGACCGTGCCAATTTGAAGAAGAAATCCGGTTTACTTACTGACAAGCTAGCACGGCCGTGCCAAATACAGCACGCCCGTGCTGATCCAGGGTTAACTGCGCGCTTGACTTCTCCGCATTAGAAGACGTATATAAGGCCCAACTTTAAGAGGATTCGGGGACAGTTTTAGAGATAGTTTTGAGAGCCTTTGTAGAGAGTTATTGGAGAACGTTCTTAGTATTAGAGATTCATTAGTTTTCTTAGAGATATTTCTAGAGATTTTAGTTTTCTTGGATTGATTTGAAGCAAGATTTGCGAAGATTCTTTGTATTTTTCATTGACGACGGATATCAAAGTTCTGAACTTTTCCATTGATTTGCATCAATACAATTGGTATTATTCATTCTTGTTTATTAATCAAGCTTTATTATTCCTTAATCAGAATTCATGTTTATATCTATTATGCTTTTGGAATTCATTATTGCTTTGATTATGAATATGTGTGAGTAGTCTCCTAGCTAGGGTTTCGGGATGAAACCCGGCCTAGGTAATCTATGTAATTGAGGATTGATTTTGATAAAAGGATTGTGATTAAATTGATTATATGCGATTGCATGTTAATTCATTATAATAGGAGTAGCTAACCTAGAATCTTGAATTTGATTGCATGATATTCTTGATTTGAACAAGAGATTGTGAATTGAGTATTTCATTATTGAATGTGGTTTGATTATATATCGAGTAATGTTAAGTGCATGAGAAATCCAAGCTTAGTATTGCCCGTTGTCTTCGTATCACATGATATTGATCAGACTTATAGTCTTTGCATATCCCGTTTGTCTCTGTGATTCCTTGTTTGCGTAGTTACCGATGGTTTGGTGAATTCCCGTTCTCCCTAGTGTCTTTGTTTATTGATTTATTCCATCTTAATAATAGTATTTTAGAACACCATTTTTCCATTGATTTCGAACTAGCTTAGGTTTAAGATTGATTTGCAATTACTCTCGTTCCTCGTGGACCGAACCTTTATTTTCAATTGTACTTGGTTATAGGGTGTTCGTATAAGTATTGTTTGATTGAGAGTTAGATTGTAGCGACCGATTTAACCCTTGTCAAAATGGCGCCGTTGCCGGGGACGGTGTTTGTTAATTGCTTTTTGATTTCTTGAGTCTAGTTCATCATAAAAAAAGCACAAAAAGATTTTTCCCTTTTGGCTACACTTGTAGCCCTGCTATTTAATTGGTTTGGTTAGTGTGTATGCGCAGGTCTAAACAGAGAGAATTAATACCCTTTCGATCCAGAAATCGAAAGAACTTTGAAGAGCAATCGTAAATCTCGATTGACGTCATCAAACTCTCAAGGAAAGGAACACAACACACAACAGGTTCCAATGGCAGACATACCGCGCCAACCCAATCGGCCAGCACCACGACCCCTTAAGGAGTTGGGAACTCCTGGGGCGTATAGAGCTTCAAGTGGGATTGCTCCACCCACTACTGAGGCCAATGATTTCGAGATCCGGCCGGCTATGATCACCCTCATCGAGAGAAGGAAGTTTAGTGGTGCCAAGCATGAGAGCCCTTTGGCTCATTTGAACGAATTTGAGAAGTACTGCATACCATCAAGGTTAATGGGGTGAATTTGAGAATTTCATTCTTTTCTTGACAAATTACCGGTCCTTTGACACCGGTCACAAGCTTTAACAACTCCCATACGTCCTTGAACATAGAGGGCCAATAGAAACCGCATTGCAATATTCTCGCCAATGTCTTGTTAGCACTCATATGTTCCTCCACAAGGTGAGGAGTGACACATTGTGATAACTTCATGAATTTCATCGTCGGGGACACACCTTCTAAAAAGACCATCAACACCTTGTTTTGAAGAGCAAGGGGTCATCCCAAAAGTATTGGCGGACATCATGGAGGAACTTCCGCTTTTGTTGATAGGTGAGGTCGAGAGGAAGGATGGAGCAAGCCAAGTAATTTGCAATATCCGCAAACCATGGGGCCGGAGCTTGAATGATTGCGAATAATTGATCATCCGGGAATGAATCATCAATTGGCAAAGCTTCAATTTCACCTTCTACGATCGGTAGCCGTGAGAGATGATCGGCTACTACATTCTCGGCACCCTTCTTGTCCCGAATTTCTATATCGTAGTCTTGTAAGAGCAAGACCCACCTAATCAACCTTGGTTTAGCGTCCTTCTTGGACAGCAAGTACTTCAAAGCCGCATGGTCGGTGAAGACTATAACTTTGGAGCCCACCAAGTAAGACCTAAACTTTTCGATAGCATGGACGATGGCTAGGAGCTCTTTTTCAGTCGTTGTGTAGTTTCTTTGT